CTCTTTCAAATCTGCAGACTAGAAACATGCACAGGCACCTACAGCAAGACCTGAATAACTGCACACACCCCAACCGGTTTGCAGAATCTGAACTAATAGCAGCTAGATCGGCTGAAAAAAAATCCTTATGGTGTGCCAAGGACTCAAAGTGATTCATGCTGAGGAATGGTTCTGAGGTTGTTGGGTTTTGTTTTTTTTGTGGTTTTTTGTTTTTTTTGGTTTTTTTGGTTTTTTTTTTTTTTTGCAAGAAGGCTAAGTAATTTCCCATTAGCATGCCTTGTCCGTGCGTGAATGCACAAGTCAGGGGCTGTGTTGCCACAAATGTTTTGGTGTAGCTCCTGCAGTAATGCTTTCGGTTTTATAGTGTGTTTTTAGAAACCTGCTGGACCTTTTCAAACTAGCGTTTGTTTTAAATGCTCCCTCTGCTGGCTACAGTGCGAGTTATTGTATTTTAATTAAAAACCTGAGACTAAAATCCTATTGGAATGAAATTACTAGATTAACAGTAAAAATTCTCTTTCTTTATCCCTCCACCATTCTCTGAATTCTACATCTCGATGGCACTGTGTGTACTGCACCTGCCCTGATATCGGCACAGTGTTTGTGGGAGAGGTAGTTTTCTGTAACACCTATTATTATTGTTGTTTTAAATCTCTATAGACAAAATAGATTCCTTTAACAAATTCCACCTTTCCTATATCCCTAGACTGTCTTGTGACAGGAAGTGCTGTGGTTTGTGGAGATTACGCTTCAGAAAAGAACAAGTGGTTGTGATGGAAATATTTAGCGTTCTCTTGCTTATATAAAGTCAGAAAGAGTTATTTAAAATATAATTTCTGTAAAAAACAGTTTTAAAAGAGCGATTGCAGGGTTTCTTTTTTGTTTTCTTTTGCCTGTCTTCCTGTTGAACAGTTGATAAACACTTTAAAATGCTGTAGAAAATCATTGTGAAAAATTATTAAATTTATGTTAGGGATAAAACTTAAGTCTTGTATTAATGATGTGCTGCCAACTATTTAAACAGAATTTCTAAAAGAAATAAATGCCATTGATATAGCGCCAAAAAAAAGAGTGGAATTAAGAGCAAGGAGAAATGTGTGCTTCCCCGGGGAACAAAATAAAACATGGCCTAGGTCCAAAGAGTTTTCTAAGTGTGAGGCAAGGAGCAGCGCCCAGCTGGGAGGGATGCAGGTGACAGGTGGGGTTTCTGGATGCAGAGGCACCAGGCTGTGTGGGGTGGAGGGACACCTGGGTCACAGCCCCACCATGCACCCGCTGCGGCTCCAGTCCCACCAGTGAGGGTAGGAGGTGGGAAACAGGGAGCTGCAATGGGAACAGGGAATCGCAGCTCCAGCACCACTGAGGCATCCAGTGCAATCAGAGATGCACTTGGCACCAGGCTCGTCAGCCTCCAAGTGTGTCTCTCCCATGAGTTTTGATGTGTCAGCCAGCCCCAGTGGATGTCTCATACTCAACAGCACCATAGTTCTGCAAAAAATCGTGTGCTGTATCTATGGCAGATTAACACTTGAATTAAGACGCCTCGCATACTGATCTAATGCCATTTGAAGGTGCTGCTGAGGATTTTGTGGCGGACACTTTGTCAGTCCTGGGGTGGCAGCTCAGTGCAGCACAGTCGGCAGCAAGCCCTCCAGTGGGCACTGGCTGTGCATCCCCCCGCAGCAGCACCTGGCCTGTGATGATGTGCACAGCTGCACCCAGCCGTGGGAGACACGGCCCTGGCATTGCCAAGCCCCGCACAGTCAGACTTCTTACTGAATCTACAAAAACATAACTGGAAAAAAGTGTTCTATGAGTCTCAGCCTGGTTTTAATGCATTCAATTTAATGCAAGCAGGCCTATGAGTCCTGCTGACTTAAAAATAGGCTTGTAAGTCCTTTGAAGCTTTTTTCCCCAGCACTTTTTTCAGCAGGAGAAAAGCTTTATATTTTGTGAAAGTCACTGGACCCTGCTGGACAAAATGGCAAACCCCCACATTAGGATGTTTCAAAAGTAATGCTGCAATGACCACTAATAAATGAGAGAGCAGGGGAAAAAACTGGGTAACAGTTCAGAAAGAAAGAATGTGAAAGGAAGGCAAATAGGAATGAAAAAGGAACCAGGACTTTCACTGGCTAAACCAGATTTAAAACATATACATAATCTATAAACATATAAAAATGTGTTTATAGATCAGACGGAAGAACGCAAGTCTCGCTCTCTTCTTGAAAGAGAAGAACAGCACTAGTGCAGGTATTGTGTACTATTCAACACCAGCAGACGTGGTCACCATAAATCATTTGATTATGAAGTACAAGGAGGTCACCCTCACAGCCCACGGACACACAGACAAGGTTTCCTGCCTTGAAAACAACCACCTTGGCTTTGGTTCAGCATTTCTTCAGGAACTCTGAGGTCTCCCGTTTTGTGTCACCGACCTCTGCTAAGTGAAAACTCAAACTGGAAACGGACATCGGAAAATAAAACCAGTAGTCCTAGGATGAAAAGAAAAAATTACAGATATGTTTCACTTTGTTTATTTGTTCTTCGTTTTGATAGCACATCTCAATCACACTTGCTAATTAGATCTTACAAGATCTTTCCCCCTGCACAAGGAAAGAGGCAAAAAATGATCATGCATAAGACATCGAATGCATTCACATCAGTATGTTGTACTTTCGGGTTTTGAGCATCATAAATAAGAGAATATTAAATCAGCTGGTTTTGTTTAACATCATTGTTACAGTTATAGCAGCTTAAAAGGTTTAACACAGGTTAATCCACTTCTAACATTTTCATTGGAAAAAGTTTCTAAGAAAGTTTGTTAAGTGATTAAAAAAATAGAGGCCCAAACACTACAAAACAATGTTTTAAAGATAAAGCATTTCTTTTTAGTTTGTAGGGCTTAAAACTCACAATGGCCTTTCTGCTTAGGTCAGGGATGCGATTTTGGAATTACTTGCATGAAGGTTAGGAAATTCAACTTATTTGTGATTTTTATGACCATGAAACATCTTTAAATGGGTTTGGGTTTTCAGAAACGCCGAACGCCCATGCTTTAAGAGGTCCTAAGCTAGGGAGACAAAACCTTCATTTATTCCTGTGAATATTGGCCAAAACACTGGAGACCTGCTAATATAGTTCTGAGGTCTATGGCAGTAGGACACAAATGACTATAGGTTCTGTGAGTTTTGGGTTTGTGGGGTTTTTTTTTTAAGCTTACATTGGAATGCTTTGATGGCCATTAGGAACAAGATATTCTTGCAATGGATAAAGTCTAATTATAGGAGGGGAAAAAAAAAAAAAGCTATCTACAAAAAGTAGCTAGCCATACTCATTGATATAACGAAAAGAGAAGTAGATAAACTTCTTTTCTTTAGAAGACTGACTTTTTACTACAGACAGGTGAAATATTGTTACAAATACTTGATCTGATCCTACAGCGCGCGAAGTGCCCTAAACCGCTTTGGGAAATAACCAAGGAATGAAGGTGCTAGGTATGCCCGAGGAAACACTTCGGGAGACTAAAGGAGACACTTTAGGACTAAACACATGAACAAATCGAAGTGTTGTAACATGCATTAATCTTAATCTCTTGCTAGCAGGCATCAGCTTTCTGGAGCCCTGCCTGCCAGCCCGGATGAGCTCTCAGCTGAGTTAGTGCTCTGCTGCTGGGAGCTTGCAGCAGCTCAGCTGGAAACAACCCAAAACTTTCAACTTTGGGCTCGGGAACTGCATGCAAAGGAGAACAAAGGAAAAGTAGGAGGAAAGCTTAGTTTGGACTAACACTTACTCCAAGGTCTACACTGAATTTTAATCAAGTGTCTTGTGCAGCTATACACTAAAAGGTTTTTTTTTTTATAGCTGAAACTTAGACCTCTTTTTATATGTTATAGGATCCATCACATATCTTTGCAGCTATCACGTACTTAAACCATACAGCTGCATGACAAAAGTAGTCAAGATATTTTGACAGAACTAGCTAATACTGTAACATCTCATCCAAGCTGTGTTGCGATCTTGGATGTCATATCAAGCTGGTGATGACTTAGTAAACACATTCAGTCCAGTTATATACTTACTAGAATTTTTTGTGCCAAGACTTTAATGTGCTTCAGTGCATGAAGGAAATTTACAGCCAGCTCCATGAATATATATTCCAGCTCTCCGTTTCATTTCAGTTAAAAAACCCAGCAGCAATTATATTATAGCGTCACAGCAGATATTTCTAACTTTGCTATAAACAAATGTTGATCTAAAGCTTTGCAGACAGCTCTCAGGCAAACTTAATTATTACAGAATTTATAGCAATATTAACCACTTTTTTTCCCAGTACTACAGTTACTACTATCTTTTAAAGATGGCAGGTGGATATAAATGAGATCTTTTCTGACATGGGTTTACTCTTACAGTGGGAAAGCCAGGAAGAAGCCTGTTGTTTCAACTCAGTTTAACGATATTTTTCGACTCTAAGTCATGGTCTAAAGCCAAGTAAATGGAGCTGTTTCCATACAGTGGAAAGGATGCTGGAGCGGACCGTTCTTCAAGATTAGTAATTTGTCTTTAGAATGGACATAACTTTGGTTGCTGTCTATTTTAAGTGTAAATTGTATCTACTGAAGTTGTGTTTACGGGGGACAGGAGGAAACAGTGTTTAAATTCAGAAAAAAAGTCTGAAGTATTCTACAGTGTTAGTTGGATATCTTGTCCAAAATTTATCCTGATTCCAACTGTCACTTGGCTGCTCTAATTCCACCAAGTCTTTGTAATGATCTAAATGGAAGAACAATCTGACCACTGTTGAAAAAGCTTTGGCTTGTGACCTCCGTGTGAACCTATGCCCAGAAATGAGTTTTAGCCTGCATGACTGAGCCTACCAACATCGAGGCCTTGTCTCATTAATAGCTTTTCTTAATACATACAACCACATTAACAACATGAGGTTTCTAGGAAGCAATGATTCAGCAAAGCCATTCTCTCTTATTTATTTTTTTTTTTTTAAGAACTTTTCAGAATCCTGCCATAAGAAAAGCTCTAATGAAATTGTCTTTGTCATGATCTCCCAATGGCCAAGAAGCCTCACCTTATGGTACTTTGACAGGAGCGAGGACAGAGATGAGCTAACTGCCCAGGAGGACCCGCAGCCTAGCAGCACCACCCGCCATGGGGCACAATCCTTGGAGCCTGCTATGAGAGAAGGATGGAAAATCAAGAGCCACGGGAGCTGTTCAGTGCCTACCAGTCACCATCACATCCCTGTGCTTCACCAACACCTGTGGATTCTGTTTCACAACTCCTTTGTGAGGTAGGAAAATACCCCTCCGTCTCTTGCAGAAGAAGAAAGTGAGGCATAAGGAGATTAAGTTGTTCTCCCACAGAAAGTCTGTGGTAAAGCTGAGGATGAATTTAATCCATTAGTTTAGTCATGGGTCAACCATTCTCTCCTCTGTGCCTAGAGGCACTGGGCTTTTGACAAAACCTTTATTTCTGCAAGCCATAAGCATCCTGGGCAATATACACTGTCACAAGTGGATTTGCTTCCTTGTCCTGCTTGTCTGAATTTTACAGACTGGCTAAAACTTTTTTTGTTGTTGTTGTAGCACACCAGTGAGATCATCTTGCCTAGTGTTTTGCATTAGTCTCCAAGACAGACAAAGTTTAGCTGCAAACTTCAGATTTAAATCTTGTGTATAGATGAGAGCCCACTTCTGTTTGCTTGCTTCCCTCCTTCCAGGAAACATGAAATATAATAAACACTACAAGCACAAAATAAAAGCCAATGAACAAAACCTTCTACTATTAATTACAAACATTAGTGCAAACCACACAGCAGATTATTTTTAGTAAGCTCAGCATTTTCTGTAAGGGGGTCATACAACTGAGGCTTTAGCCAAATAAGTAGTCAGCTTTGAAGTTCGCTCACATAAGCAACCTGGATTCTGCTGCTACACATATTTTATCCCACATATTTGTATGTATGCTATAATACTTGTTATTGAAAATATATTTAGTCCTGTGATTTTATAAAATATAAATAACTAAAAGGCAATAAAGGCCAAATTCCAAAGCTGAATTACATGTTTGGCTAAGACTTGCCTGGCATCATCTTAACTGCCCAGAAGAGCTTGCTTTTATTTTTTTTTGCTTTTATTTTTTTTTAAATGTAAACGAACCATTTGTCTGCGTGTCTAAAAGCCAACACCTAAATCAATGCTTGACATTCAAATGCATGGCTCTGCTGTCAAAGATAAGAGTGCTCACACTTTCTTTGACATCAAGTGCTCACCACTGTTGAAACCTGGCTCTCATTTTTACATATTCAGATGTAGATGTAGGTGGTTGGCTTTACCTCACATCATTTGAAAACTGAGGCCTTTGTGCCTAATTAAGAGTCAAAGCTTGAAAGCTGCAGAAGTTAAGAATGCTACAGGAATGCTGATCTCCCTGCTCAACATTGTTTATGCTTGGCAGTAGTCATCTGAAAGAAGGTGGGAAGAAAAAAAAAAAAAAAGAATCAAAGTTTGAAAAAGTATTTCTCAAAATGCTTTGCTGGGCAAGGCCAATCGAGCTAGTGAATGCTGTAGTCAGTGGTGTGTAAATCCCAGCAGCTGCAGCTGAAGGGATGCAGTCAGAATTTGGAAAAGTGCACTTTTTCATTGTTTGCTCTTTAACAAGAACAGAAGCCAGAGTTGCACACCCTGTGACTTCTAGAGAGACTGTCTCTTCAGAGGTTTTCATCCAGCCATTTTATATAGCTGTTCCTGGTCTGAACGCCCGCAGAGAAATCAGTAGGCCAAATGGTGAATATCATGCAGCCATGAAAGCAGTCATCAAAGTGATCGAGCGTGACTTCCACGCCGGCGTGCTCCAAGCGCTTGGCGTACATCGCCCCGTCATCTCGCAGGACGTCGTTCTCACAGGTCAGGATGTAAGTCTTTGGCTGCAACTGCAGAGTTTCATTTTCTGCAAGGAGTGGGACTGCGCGTACATCAAGCAGCGCTGGTATCTCCCGGATGATTTCAGCCTTGCCCGTGGTTTGTATTACAGGCTTGTAGTTCTTTTTGAAGGATGAAGGCAATAGAGATGTCCAGTTCAGACGTCCTCTGAAAGAGAGAGCTTGGCCAACGTCAAGAGCAGTGTGGTTGTTGATCACCAGTGAGTGAGCCAAGTCATAATTACCGTTGAAATAATCTATCCAATAGTTGATCATGACATAACGAGGAAGGACGGGCATATTCATGTTCTGCTGATAAGAAGGTGTATTGAAGTCAAATGCCTGAAGGACTGGATAAATTAAGGCCTGCAGTTTCGGTCTGATGGTCAAATGCTCATCTTTGCTAAGCTGCGAAAAAAATACAGGACAGAACTGGGATTATAAAGAAAATAAACATTACACTACCAACCTCGAACTTCATACAAACAACCATTCCTTTGACAATTTTTAGGCTGAATTCTGCTCTTCTGCAGATAATGTTGCTCTTTTGTCTGAAATATTAGCAGCCTGAACTACTACTTCTCTTGTAAGGGTGGCCATTCAGGCAGACCCAGTACCTTGTCTCCAACAGAAATCAGTGGCAGAAATCTACTGAAGGGAGTAAGTAAAAAAGAAAAGTGTAAAGTGGCATTTCTCTAACACAGTGCCCAGTTTAACAACTGGCAACTGAGGGACTTCCTGAATCAAAGGAGCTGTTCTTGCTTTTAACAGCTCTTCATGGATTCTTCTTCCATGCGTTTATCTGTTTTTCAGCAAATGCAAATTGCTGGCATCCACAGTTTTCTCTAGCAAAGGCTCACCACGTGCAGAAGCACCTCTCTCTGTTTGACTTGGCCCTGCCGCTGCATTTGATTTGAGCCTACCAATTATACATTAGGTGCTCCCTAATTCTTTTATTGGAAAAATCAGCAAACGCTTGTTTTGCTTCATCTTCTACGTAAGATACACAGTTCTCTACCATATCTCATCTTGCTATAAAAGAATTATGCATCAGGAAAATGAATTAGGAATGCTTTTTCCAAAACATGGTACTATCAGTGTTTATCAGTCTTCAACATTGAGACTTTTAGTGTAATTGTCTCTTATTAATTTTTTCACCCTTATTCAATATTGCAGGGTTGTCATGATAATTAGTTGTCTGGACATGGTATCAGCTTTCTTATCACCAATGGTTATGGCAATACAAAAAAGCTAATAATAATATTTCACTCAACCATGAAAAATATTATTAGTTGCCCCAGGCTGCCTTTAAAATCTTTACTAGATTAAATTCAGATCACATTTAAACTGCAGATACACAAAAGAAATTTCCTTAAAATTGCAAACTGCTACAGGAAGACAATTTAACAGAGGAATTAAGCTTTATTTATTGTAATTTTTGTCCTTCATTTGTATTTGAAATAAATAAAACCATATTTTCAGAGACAAGCATCAAAAAATAGGAAGCTAAATTGCTAAATTACAAATGTGCCTCGTTACCTACTTAGAAAAATAAGTAATTCACCCAGCAAAAGGGGTGAAAAAAGTAATTTAGCTACTTGCTCTTAAAATCTGCCCCATAACAACTCATAACTGTAGTAAGACATTGCAAGCAATGTGATTCATATTGTGACTGACTCATTTTTTCTTCTGTAAAGTGACTAGCTGCTGGCTTTCTACCATTCTGTCTTTAGGGTTGGCACATCACCTTGTGATGATGCAGCACAAAGAATCTGTCAACCTATACTATACGCATCACTGAATTAGGGACTGTCGTAGTGTAACACATAACAGACACTGGGTATTACCTGCTGACACACAGCAGCTGCCAAATTTCCTCCTGCACTATCGCCAGAAATTGCAATTCGACTTGGGTCAACTGAATACTCAGCTAAGACATCAGGCTGCAAAAAATGCTTAGTAGCACGAAGAGCATCATGGAATTGCTCAGGGAAGCACACCTCTGGTACCAGCCTGTATCTACAAAGAAAAGAGATGAGACACAATTATTACCGTCAGTGTACCTCTCTTTCAGGATTAATAGGTGGTATCAGGTATTCCTTAATGGCAAATAACTATTTCATTAGGATAAATATTACAGGAAAAATATGATGTGTGTAATACTTAATCTTATAATTAATGCTCTAATTCTGAAAGATTAATATGAACCTACTAGATATGAATAATACCAAGACAGTATAAAATTATGCAGCACTTTCCTAGGATTTCCCAATAGAGGACTTCATCATACATTGTAAAAATGAATGAATATTTAAAACACCTTGGCAAGGGAGTCATTACAATTAGGCTGGTTTTGATCCAAATCCACACCATAACTAGTACAAGGGAGCGTAAGTCATACACACCCAAGAGATTTCACGGAGCCAAACACCTAAGCAGTTCCGTTTCCCAAATTTTTACCTCTGCTCAGGAGAGAATGAACCTTGCTATACCTTTGTGCCAGGAAATGAACAGTCATGAATACCAGTTTGCTTCCATGCAACAGAGTCAGTAACTCCTTTATCTCAGAGAGGAGCAGGAATATACCCATTGCACAGGTGGAGAGACTGAGGCACAGAGAAAACAATCTGCCCAGGAAGAGCCAACAGCTGAGTCCCATTCATGAGATTTTTCTCAGTTTCTAAATAACAGTACAGGAGAAGTCTGTTCATATTTACGGAATCATTTGTAATCTAAGAGTTGTTGCTAGGCCTTATGGTAAAAAGCACATCTTCTGTTTGTAGCTTTTCAAACAACAGATTTTACGTATTGTCAGTAGAGCTGAGCAAAACAAGCAAAACAAAATCCAGTTTTCTGATTCAAAACATTTTCTTCAGGATCTTAAGCTAAAAAAAGTTTCATATGCAGAATAAAATTGAAACTTCAGTTACACAAAAAGCATTTCAAACTCCAGATTTGACCTGCTTTCAGAAAGCAATCTATATATTGCATCAGCTACAAAGAATATGAAAGAGTCCTCTGGGAACTCCTTACAAAACTGCGTAACAGACTGTGCATTTATCATGAAAGCGAGATGTGCAATTAAACCAATAAGAAATCTAATTAGTCTTCACTAATTGAGTACAAACGCCTTGACTGAAAGATATAATGGCTAAGTAGAAGAGGTAAACAATAACTCAGAGAAACAGGCAGAATTATACCACCATAAATCAGAAGAGGAATAATAAGGACCTTTTCAATAGTGTGATCACCGTTCATCCAGAATAACCAACAGCTGCTTTTTTATTTTTCATTGTTTCTACTAATAAACAACAAAGTAAAAAACCAAAAGCGACCCTTTAAAGTATGCTATAAGTAGTGAATGAGTAACATCAACTCCATATAATTAAGTTGCAATTAGATCACAGAGTTTGGTATGTAATCAACTGCAGGTGGGAAACTTGAGTAGTTTTATCAAGTAATTGCGTTTGGGAAAGAAAATATTGAAGTTGACAATAAGGATGGGAAAAGTACCAATCAAGTTGGAGTCATTTAAGTAATGTAGTTAGCTAGTTGAGAGGTTTGTTTACCTTGCAATTGTTCAGGGAGTTAAAAAAAGCAGCCCTGCTTCTCTGTTGTCTGGCACCCTGGCAGTCCTCCACTCTTGAGTGGAGTACAAGGCTTAAATGAGATGACTGAAACAGCAGGAGATTGTGAAAGCAGCAGGAAACTGCCAGACTTCACGGTATATTCTGGTTAATGAGCAGGGGTAAAATGATTTCATAATTTTTATGTTGCAGACCCTTGCTCAACATGACTTAGAAACTGTGGTTTATAGACAGACTTCAGGGAAGGTGTCTATATATTTTTAATATTGTATATACAAAAATATATATTAAAAAATATACCTTGCAGCAGTGGGAGTAGCCACTGAGGATGGGAAAAGTCCCTCTTGCTACATGAGGAGGCACAGAGATTGGGTTCAGCCTTCCTTCAGGTATATGTCATGTCCAAACGTGTTTGGTTTTTTAATTAGATTATTTTTAAGTTCACAAGTATTTACAGAATCATAGGTTGGCACTTGAGTGATCTCAGGTTTTAGCTGCATTCCTTACATGCAGCTACATTCCTAACATTTGCATTTTAGTATTTGTCCAACTGAATTCAGTGCTACTTTCTTTTCCCACATTCCTGCCTTCTAAAATAATCAGAAATCCAAATGAATTTTTGATACCATTTCAATTTGTTGTCATTTTAAGGGATAAAAATATCAGACTGGCAGAGAATTATTGTCCAAGTTAAAGCCTTATATGGAAACCATTAAAAGGGAAAAGCTACAAGAACTACGTTACATATTTCTAATACCTCAAAATTACTTGATCAGTTTTAGATTACTCACTCAACTGAGACAACTACAGCATTGAGAGATTCGGCCATGATTCTGCAGAGATTGTTATAAAGGCTTGTTCCTGGAACGAAAGGACATGGTGTTAGGGACATACAAGTCCATTTATGTCAATATTTACAAAGCTATACATAAGCCTTCTCAGAAAATGTAAAGACATGGTACAAATATAAGCAAAGCAAATGAGATCAGCTTGCAATGAAGTGCCAAATACATATTGTAGCAGAAGGATCATAATTCACGCCTTGAGAAGTCCTGCAGTTTATTGCTTTCTTTCTCATCTGTTTCTTGGTGACCTGGGGCATGTCATTTCATCCACGTATCACAATTTTCTCAGTTGGGCAAAATTTAAGGTACCCAGTGACTTGGGGGCATTAGCATCCAGAGACAGTTATCACTGTATGAGTCACTGCTTGCTGTTCATTTTATTATAGTGTGTATTGCTTAGCTTCAGATGAATTTCCCTATTAATGTCAACTGAACTACTCATTTAAGGGAGGATTAATCACAGCTATCGTATTTATCAATGGACTGATTTTCTTTAATTTTATTCCTTTCCAGTTACTTAATCGCCGGTTCCTGGTATTATAAAATACACTAAGACACTAAGCATTTTCTAAAGTATCTAGTCTTAGAATTTAATATTTAGCTGTAACATTTGTGCCATCAACTTCTGCATCTGGGACTCAAGGATAGCATCTGACATAGCTGAGTTATAGTCATCTGAACAAAGCACAGTAATTTAATATAAACTTTTTGCACAACAAGAGTCACAGGCAAACTGTTACACAACAAATGAGATGGACAGGATGCTAACAAACATTCCTTAGGCAGGCCTAAGAAAACCCAACTCGAAGCATATTTCCTCTGTAGAAAGAGGGGTAAAATTTTTAACTGCTACAGGATTGCAGAACAAGGAGATTAGGATTTCCAAAGGCATGTGAAGGACATATTTGAAAATTATTTAGGAACCAAAATCTCACTTAAATCACAGTCTAAGTGGTATACACATGCATAGTCCAAATAAAATCAATATAGTGTTTGTTTTGGAACACTTCAGAAAACCCCATTAATATTCTTTTTCTATAGATGAAACCACAGAATGCATCAGGGCTGTGTGGACTTCATGTCATGGGAGCAATGGGGAAGGAAAAGGCGGAAGACTCCTATCAGATCTGGATCCTGGAGAAGCCATGAGAACCACATGCCCTTTCTCCTCCCGAGGCTTTTCTCCTCCTGTATGATGTGGAAGGATCGGTGGTTAGCTTATCGTTGTCTATAGCTGTACCTTACTTTCCCTGATGATGTTTATGGCTTCCAAGTTAACTGGACTAAATAGCATTAATTTTCAAGGTAATTTCTGCTAGTGGTGCAGTGGTCCCCTAAGGGAGGGGACCAGACCACGGGACAGTAACCCACCTCTACCCATTTCCTCTCTCACCTTGCCCACTGTCTGGGATCAGCAGCATGTATTCCCAAGTATGTGCTATTGGAGAGCCAAACACCAGCAGCTGTTAGGTGTAATGCTGGCCAGCTCACTTTTTTGCTAATTATTGCCTGAAAACAGGGCAAAACCCTTACACATAGTCCGTCCCTGGATCCTGATCACCAAGGACTGACTTTTGCGCACGACCACAGAAAATGGGGGACTGGCCCAAACAGCCCATCCAGACATCCCAGGAATTTAAACAATAAGCTATTTTGTCCCTCAGGATGTAACAAAATTAACCTTTCGGTCCTTTCACAGCTCATGTGCAGATAAGATATGCATTTCTGCAGCGTGTTCACAATACTTTCCTCCCCTCTCTTCTTAGAGCTGATCTACCAGCGTGGAGACAGTTACTACTGAATTCAGGTACATCTTAGCAAAACTATCATCCCTGGCAGGAAAAACGGCTTTTGGCTTCTCCTGTTAGGAGAAAACCAGACCAACATCCTATTTAATTACTGGCAGAGACATACTTGCACTTGCCAAGGCCCAGCCCCCTCCGTGGATGTAAACAACGCTGCGCTTGAGCCTTTCATCTCGTTTCGCAGGAGGTTCAAATACTCTGACTTCCACCCCGTCGAAAACAGCATCTGTGATGTTAATGTCTTCGGAGGAGACAGACTTCAGCTTGTCAAAAGTACAAATCAAATAATTCAGAATTATCAAGTGATGGCTGAGTCTCAGATAGTGAATCAGGTGACACTAGGAAAAAAAATAAAAAGAAGGAAAAAAGAGATTTCTGTTACTTCAGAGCATATCATACGATACCGCATTGATGTTTAATGCAACCGTCTCCAAAGGGCAAGTCCTGTATGAAAACGAATATGGATCCTTAGAATATTCACTGGAAAATGAATGACTATCAAAGACCTCTAATGTTTTTAAAGCTGTATTAAAACAAAACGCTGTCCATAAAAGATTCTCTGTTGTCAAACTATATCAAACCATGAGCACTACATGGATCAAGACAACTGTGAATGAGCACTCAGATCCTTCCATGCCTTTGAAAGACACCTCGGAAAGGAGAGGAACCTCACCAGTACATTCCACTACAGGACTGGTGACGCTCCTCAGACCGGTGCCAGCAGAGGGCAATACCACACAGGCAAAGTTTTTGTGGTGGTAAGGTATCAAAAATGCAAAGTATTTCTCTTGTTCCACCCCAAAGCTTAAATCTTTCCTCTTCTGAACTAAGAAAGTTCAAGGATTGCAAAGAAATTTGAAAACAGGAATGGTCTTAAGGGAATATAGTGGTTGTTTATTGGCCGGTCCTGTATTTACCTGCTGAACTGGGAAAGATCTGAAACACTATCCAAGAACCATGGCAGGTTAGTGATTTTTTTCCCAACCCCAGAGAGTAAAGCGTGTTACTTTTTTGTGGGGGTAAAACACTATTGAAATGAAGAATGATCTGATCTTTCTGTTCCCTTATGGTAGAAGGAGAGATATTTTTTCCCCCTTTGGCTATCCAGGATTTTTATTTTTCATGTTTATTTTTTAACCTTTGCCCTGAATAGATTAAAAACCTGTTTCTCTCAGCAAACAGTACTGGGATCCAAGGCATTCCTCCAGCTTAACTGGTCATGACCTGCTCCCCACGTATGACCTGCACACTATTTGTAGTGCATACTTGTTCCCATTCCCTAGATGGTGCAGAAGGGGTGGCAAAAGGTGAGACAAAGGACTGCAGGGACTACAACATTCAGACTGGTTATTAAAAATAAAAAGTAGGGAGGATCTTTCCCCTTTTCCAAAGTTAATCTCTGTCCTAGTGGTGAAGGCTAGAAACTGGATAACCAGCTAAGCCTTTTGTACAACCTTCTCAGTCAAGGCAATGGAGCTGGGAGGTAAAATGAATACATATACCTAATGTACACCTATAGGACCACTACCGTAAGGAAAACTGTGACCTCTGACCTTTTATTTTATGTACAGGTCGTACCAAATACTTGGAATAAGAGATGTACTGTTAAGTGCCACAGGGCTCATCTACACGACCACTTAACCGTTTTAATTCTGCTAGTACCACTAGTGCAGCCCAAACCTGCTAGTATAAGTTAAAGATGCTGTGAGAGAGTGGGGTCACCCAGATACTGGTCTAACTGCATTCACATTGTGAAGAACAAATAGTTGCCACAGCTGAACCTGTACCAAAACTAAGCGGAAGCCAAGTCTGGTTCCTTGTGACGGACGTTGTTTTGCAAATAAGGAGTTTCAGAGCTCCTTCTGGTTTCTACTATCTGTTCACAAGGACAGCTATTTCATTTTCTTGATGTTTTTTTTTTACCGTACTTCTGCAGTACCATTTTCACAGCCACTTGCAGTGCCAAAATTCAGCTTCTCTGCCAGGAGTGCCTGCTCACAGCAAAGGAAGGGCTAACAGAGGCAAACACACACCTCCGGAGGAAAAGCAAATTTTGAAGCATTCAGCAGTATCCATGCCAAAGATTTGTCTCCTTATGTCTACAGCCCCAGCTCCTTACATGTGACTATCTGTCATCAGTTTGAATGTAAAAAAAAAAAAAAAAAAAAAAGGAGAAATATTGGCTTTCAGTCAGGTGCTGTATAGAAAAGGCCCCGCACAGTCCCACTTCCACTGCAAATTGCTGTACAAAAAACCCAAGCTTTGATATTTTTCCCAAAAAAACCTATGCCAAATACAGTGGGCTGCTATGTGAGTGGGGAGAGGAATCCACTTCCAAAACAAGAATTTACAGAAATTACTTTCTTTTCTTACTTTAGCTTGTGGTAATGTCACCCTGCTGAGGTAGTTTGGTGGGAATCCAAATTTTAAACTGTTTGCTGTTTTTTGGATGGAATATGATTTCTTTATACTGCAAGGCTTTTCTCTGGGAGAAGAAACACAAAGTATCCACCCGGTGGGAAGAAATGCTGAATTCACAAGGCTGTTTGTATCTCTGAATTTCAAATCGTGCTTTTCTCCCACTGTTACTTGAGAATTCCCACAGGAAAACCCCATTTGAGTTTGAAATCTGAAGAGCAATACATCTCTTCATAACTTGGCACACAATTTGTTGGGCTGCCACTGATGTAACCAACTAAAGATCTGATTCTTCCTCTGCCCCATGGAGGTTCCCAGGGAAGGTAACCACTGGGAAGCAATTTTAGAAATACTGTAGGGGAAAACAATGTTTTTGTAGATTTTTTTTAGCCTGACTGTGCTGCAACAGATGTCTCATTTTAGTTTTCTCGCACTTTAGTTCACATTCCTTGTAGACGAGATTCCCCCATGTTCCCTGGAATCAGAAATGTTTTATTTTCAAGGCTAGTTAGTGTTGTTTACTGAGAAGTGTTTTGCTCTGTTCTTAACCTGCAGATGGCCACGGTGCTCTGCAGTTTAATCACACGAAGCTTTCGTGCCTTTTTTTTTTTTTTATTTTTCCCCTTTAATAGGCCACTCCTTTTTCCAAGAATCCAAAGACCTAGAAGAGATGCTTTGTACAACAGGGCAAAAAAGCAACAGTCCTAATTTTTTTTTTTTTTTGGTTAAGAATAGGTAGGTTTTTTGCCAAGCAGTTATCAGATTCTTTGTAAGTATATCTATCTAATCAGCCTATTTGGTACATCTCTTTGCAAGGCATCAGGATTGCACTATTTGCTGGCAACGAGCTAGTCTCATCCAGAGTGCTCACAAATAAAATTCTTACTTTTTTTTTCCTCTATAAATAAGTATTTAAAATAGACATATAATTTATTTTCACTCTGTAATATAACTACTGGCAGAAGTGTGTTTAATGGTTGGATAACTCTCTTCCAGGACTGTGTTGCCATCCAAAGGGAAGACCTGACCATCCTGTCGGCTGTGCTTCCCTGGCGTGTTTCTTGTGTTAGAACTAATGAACACAAAGATTCAGAGCATAACGTTTCTGCACTAGCTCAGTATGAACCCAGCAACACCAGAGAAAAAGTACCAAACTTCAGCCAGATGCCCAAGTTACAAGGCAGGACGGAGAGAGTGAGGGAAAGGAGGGGGCCAGCCCTTCTGGCAGCAGTCCACAGTTGGATTGCCTTAAATCCATTATAAAACCATATCCAGTCACCTCATGAGAGTAATAATTGGTTTGATCTTTGCTGGTGTTTATGATTTTTACCACCCTGCCTGCGATAACATGCAGGATTGTTGCAGGCTATCAAATACAGCATATTTGAGAATTACGTGTGTGTGTGTACATGCATGCGGAAGAGAAGAAAAGCTGATGTTTTCTGGTAAAAAAGGAGAGAAGATAGTGCTGTAACAGTAAAAGCTAGTAAAAAGGACGAGAAAGCAAAAGGACAAGGGGGAAATTAAAACACTACAGAAAAAAAGCAGAGACAAGCTCACAGAAAAGAGGAGATACTATAAAGATGAAAGCCCTGTGAGCAACTAGCCCAGAATTGCTGTGCCAGCCCAGCACATCACTCAGTCCGGGTCACAGCCGCAAGTTTTCCCATGTAATGACTGTTTTTATGCATCCGTCCGAATAAACACTTTTGTTTTCTGAACAGGTAACTCTGGGGAAAGGTGGCTGGTGAGCTGCATGGTCTTATGGGCTGGACTGAGTAATGGGCTGACACGCCGGGAGCGCTCAGCTGCCGGGAAGCGGGACAGAGCTGGATGAGCAGGAGGACCCCAGGAGAGGAGCTAGACAGGCTGGCGAGGCAAACGTGAGTATTTTGCTGGCATTTGAGCCAATTCAGCAAATAACCACTGTGGACATATTACAGTAGCCCTACTGACAAATCTATTGCTCATTTTGGATTGCAGCTTTTCATTTTGGGGCCCTTGGCTCCCTGTGACCCATGGCTGCCTCTGCAGCAGTGTGATTTACACCACACTGTAATGCTCCCCAGATCTCCAGCAAGTCAGGCAAAACAACCACTACAGCCACTGTCTCCTTCTCTCTTACCAGGACATCCCCATAACAGGGATTTTCAGGTAGTGACAACACAGGGACCCCCTAGAGACTAAACTGTTCAAGGCTGTCACCTTCCTCCTGGTAAATTCTTTGGTGAAGGGTACCAGGTATTGAAAAAATTAACTGATGTAGGAGAAAATTTTCAATAAATGAAAAAGGGAGTTAGGGTTGTGATAAAAAGCAGATAGAATGAACAAAGTGCTGCTCTAAAGAGGCACCATTACTTAACCTTTAATCACCAGCATCTGTCTCTAAACTGTTATGAGCCTTCTACTGGCTCCTCAGCTGGTAACTTCATGAAGAATCCCAAATGCTCACTGTTACCATGCTTATGTCCCTCATGGACCTGTACTCCGTATTAGTCATGCGTTCATGTTTTACAAAAAAAAAAAAAAAAAAAAAAAAGTTTTGTCCTCATGTGACTTCCATAGCTGACACTGTCCAGCTTCGCATCTCTGACCTTTAGCCACGAAATTATTGCAACAGGTCACATTCAGACAGTACACAAGGGCAGCGTGCCTCTGAAGCCAAGCTGAAGGCATCAGCTGCTTCCTCTGCTGTGTTTGCAGCTAGTCAGACCCAAGGTCCTGCACTGACCTTTCAGGCCTAAGCAGGATTGGGAATTAAGCAAACAGCTAAGGCTCTTTTTTCATACAACACTACTCGGGACTAAGCCAAATCTCACTCCCGACTCAAACAAGTAATGATGCTGGAACCGGACAACTGAACTGTCTAAGACTAAACTGCCTACTTTAACAGATGCAGAAACTATTGTCAGTTCTGGCATCACTTTGCAAAACACATTTCTATAATGTTAGCATCCAAAATACCAACTACGATATTTGTAGTCAGTAACAGATATTAGTGAAAAACAAACAGGATCAGTTCCCCATTTAGCTCTGAGCAGAACAGGTTGCTTTGTGTGCATTTCAGGCAGTTTATCCTGTTTAAAGGTGAATGTCTATTTTCTTTTATTTTACAGAAACGTTTCTTAATGCAGGTGTATTACTGTCCAGTAAAGAGCATGTATTTTTAACCATGTTATATAAAGACAGTCCTCAAAGACCAGTGCTCTTGAGTTTATGAATTGCCTTTAGAACTGAAAGGAAACCAAGATGACTCTTTCACAGTTTATTAATTAGAAGCAGAAACTATATTACATTTTAATGTAAGGTTTTGTGCACATACCTATTCCCCCATGATGATCTGTTTCTATACCAGATAGAGACAAAAGTTCTCTGTTACTGCAGACAGCGTGGTTCAGTTTCTGCTCGGGTGCCACTGCTGTGAGACCTACCCACCACAACTAACCACTTGGTTTACTGTAAACCAATTCCAAGGACATGTTCTTACATGCAAACACATCAACAACTTACTTGGCCGGCTACAACTATGGTTTACAGCTGTCCAGAAGTCACATAGTCTGAAATACGTGGGTAGATAGATATTAAAGCGTTAGAAAGAACTGATTATTGTTTTCTCTAATCCTGAATGTTGATGTCCCATGTCCTAGATTTTATTCTGAAAGCAAGGGAGTGGCAGAGAAGGATGAAGGAATTGCTTTGTTAATAAGGACAAATAGAAGCATAGTTTCCCACCCTATACAGCTGGCTACCTTCTTCCACGTACATCTCTCTGATGGCCTCTACACCAACCCATCTGTCCTTCCAAACCTCTGCTAACAGCTGTCCCAGTTTCAAAAAATCCTTTCTTCCTTGCCACGCACCAAAATAGCAAGTATCTTGACAGGGGTGTTCAGAAATAACTTATTTCAAAGTGCTTATTAAATAAACATATGGTGCTCTCTTTACTCTGATAAGGTAGAGTGGCTGGGGGAAGAAGTGAAAAACATCTGTATCAATCCCACTGTTAACAGCAGAATTATGAAATGCTGCTTGAGACAACTCTTAACAGATGCCAAGTATTGTTTATACCTACGGTTTAATCTATGGCTCACTCTCATAAACATGTGGTTGTTCAAATTTCAGTGAAGCCAAGTTCTGACGTACCTGTATACATACATATGTACACAGTTTTTAATTCTGATTTAAAATTCTGTTTTACAATTTTCTGTAAAAATGTTACCATGTTCCCCTCTTTGAGACAGGTGAGAGTGTTAAGTTACTTTCATTCTTAATTAAGCACTTTCACATCAATTCATTTATATGATTAAAGTCTAAGTTTCTCTGTTTTCATTCTGGGGCAGCAGAGGGCACAGGAATAACGCTCCGAAAACCCAGCTCAGTTTCCAGCTCTGCCACTGGAATTTTTGTGGCCTCAGATAAGGCACTTCATCTCTTCCTATCTCCGTTCCCTTCAAATTAAGATTAGGGTAACAGCATTGGTCCCCTTCTGTAGTATGTTTTGAAACCTACTCATAGAAACTGTCCTATAAGCATTACGCATTTTTTTTAACGTGTGGTTACACCTGTTTTTTGAAGTGTCTCATGCTGAGCCAGGACACTGAGTCAGTCCCAAGCTTGTAAAAAAATTGGTAGCTCACTGGGATAAAACTCTGCATGGAAAGGTAAAGCCTTATCATTCGTATGCTGAAAGCCAGTGACAGCCTTATTATGTTTTATTGGTAGTGATTATTAATACACCAAGAAAACAAACATATTATCCCTAACAAGAAATTGTCACGCTTTATTGTCAGTCTTCAGTCTTCATGTATTTCAAAATAAACAAAAGACAACCACTTGTATTTGAAGCACATAAAAGTTTGATTCATGGTCTTGGAAAAAGGGATTACAGTACATTTCGGAGATTTTAAAATCAGAAATGTACTTCTGTCTGCTATCAAACCTACACAGGAAAGTAATAAATAACACGCCGAAAATACATTCAGAAGTGGGTGAAAGTTCACATTTAGAGAAATGTTAAACCATTTGGTCTTGCAATAGCCGGTAGAAGAAGAAAGGGGAAGCTCAGCTCTACAAAAGAACATACACTTTATTTTACATACTCACACAAAAGCTGTCTACCAAAGCAAATACCGAAGTTGAACTTTTACAATCCTTCAGTTCACACAGTTCTTTCTCAACGGTAGTTATTTATTCCTGACTTTGTGACATCTCTCAAGTGTTGGAAAGACTTCTGAACACTTGGAAAGTACCTTCTCTTTCTCTCTAAAGGAATGCCCCGAGGCTTACCTGTTGTGTGATTCTTTTATGCTTCACTTAAAAACCAAAGAAGGAGTAAGCTATGTTACAGGAACTGTTACTTGTTTAGTAATTTTTCCTCACTATAGAAGTTCGTAGAAATAAGAAATGACCACTGCCTCCTCATAGATACTTCCCCACTCCAGAGAGCAGGGACAGATGTGGGCATCTTAAACCTGCCTGCCAGTTTGCTCCAGCTGCCACCCGGGCAGGCTCTGTCCTGCCACTTCCCCTTGGGATTATGACCTTTACAATATCCCAAAAGAGAAACCCTTCAGCCTTCAAGCTAGAGGCACCAGAATTCAACTGACTATGCCCAACATACCCCATAAACAAGCTGAACGTGTACATAAGCCAGTAGCAATATACATATATATAGACACAGTCATATGATTTTCTAAAGATAGGTCTCCTTCAGCTAGAGGTTATGGCCTGGACTCAGGTGTTCCTGGCTGAACTGTGAGGATGTTTTGTAGGCAGCATGCTGCAGGGGAGATCATGGCCTTCTGTCCATACTTACTGACAAATTTGGTCAAGCACAGCACTTGCTGTTCAGTTATGCAATAACATGGAGCAAGTGAACATCAAGCCACTGATTTTCCTGAAGAATGAAGCTACTGTAGGCCATGTTTGCATCATTTTCATAGCAGACACACGGGAGGGTATGCAAGCAATCAGATTTTATCTTGTCCAAGCAAACAGGTTTTATCATTTCATCCTAGAGATAGGCTTTGATTCAGCAATACATTTGGATCAGGAGAAGATGCCCCAGTGGCTGAGTGATCTGTCTCTTCCCAGGCTGCCTCCAACAGTGGCAGCCAGAGAAGCTATTCAGGCAGAATACACAAGTCTGGATGATGTTTGGTCCGCTCTCCTCTTGCTTTCCAGCATCCACAATTACTGTGTTGGGAACACAGAAGGTACATTCCCATCTAGTCCTTCTGGTATCCATTTATGGGCCCTCTGTCCATTAGTTCATTGAATCCCTTTTGGAATATGTTGATACTCTCATCCACGCAAAGTACAAGTTTTTGTACATTTCAGAATCAACTCTGTGAACTGAAACACTGCTAGGAAATTTAGAAAAAAAAACAACACCACCACAAATTTCACATACGTAATACATTACATTGGACCTGACCATGACTTGTAAAAGTCCTTGTAAAAGAGCAGACCATCCAAGAGGAAGATAAAGTTCACAGCTAAAGCCATTATCAGAAAGTTTGTGATCGCTAACCTGTTTCATGTCAGCTTGAAAACAGCGGCAGAAAATGAGGAAGCTGTCATGAAGTGACATAACTTTCATGTGTGTCTTGTGACAAAATTAAAGCATTCAGAGAGTTTTGTTTAGTAATATGATTCCAAATCAAGGTAGTTTAATATTTGAAAGAGCCTCCCTAAGTCTTCTTTCCCTAAGGCATACTTAATGTATTAGCATAAAAAACCACTTTTTTTTGTTGTTTTTGACCAGGAACCTGCAAATTGGAAACCAGACTGAGCCACTGCTAATCAGATCTGCTCCGTGAAACCCAGAGGGTAAGACTGGATGCCGGCTTTACTAAACTGCCTAACCGGGACGAGACCCGGGGCAGCCCGGGGTGACCCTGCCCGCTGCCGCCCCTGTCTCTTAT